ATAGATGTTAGCTCAGGGCCAGTGTTCCTCACCAAAAAAATAAAAAATAAAAAAAATAAAAAGTATTTATCGAGTATCTACCATGTACAACCCACTCAGGCACTGTAAGAATGAGTTAATGAATACATCTAAATATAAAGTTTAAAAGTAAATATTAAATTTTAGAATGCTGTTAAAAATATTTTTATTCTCTACATAGAAAGGTACACATGCATAGCTTAAAATTTTAAATTCACTTCAAGAAAACTTCTTTCTGAGAACCCAAGCATTTAATTTTCTGCCTATAAAATTTTGGGTAAGCAATTTTAAGATACATTTCTACAGACATACCAATGTTCTACTCTCAAAAAAATTTTAAGTTAACACATTTTTCTTTTACCTATAGTAACGCTTTTTAAAAAGCTCTTGCTTCTCTTCCCCCTAAAACCACAAACAGTTCATTTACTTTATGATTTAGTAAACATTTTTCTACAATGAATACGTGAGGGGAAAAAAAGCTATGTCTCCACTTGTGTAAACTCAATAATATAGCAATGATTCTCGTAAGTGACAGTGTCCTTATCTGCCCCAACAATGAATAAAACAGCGTATACAAAATACAGAGAAAGTAAATTGAAAGAAGCACTAAAATATAAATACATTTATATTTGCTGTTATCCATAATCGAATGTTCTTCAGAAATACAAAGTGGTCTCAATGAACACCAAAATCATAACTAATTTTGAAAAACATGTACTGATGACCTTTACTGTTTCCCTGACGACAACAGTATTAGAAAAGCTAAGGATGGACTAATCTACTAGACCAGAAAATATCCTTATCTTAATTTAGGTTCCTATGGAAGTAGACCTTGAGACCACAATTCAGTACAAATAGTAAGGGAAAGGGAAAATAAAATAGGGAAGGCAGTGTAGCCTAAATAGGGTATAATATTAAAGTACCCACCACAGTGGGTAACTGGAGTTTAATCCCAGAGTAATCTCTGGGAAACAGTGTAAAACACAGAAAGGTGAGGAAGCTGGAGCATTTGTATACCATCTCCCATCAGTCACTGGTTGAGGACATCTAGAGATATGGGGAGGGAGCTGTTAATTCCCAGGCTCTTCCAGGGGGCCATGCAAGAGCACAAAGGCCTTCCAGCATTCTGAGAAAAGCCTCCAGGCACCCAGATACAAATACTGGCTGTTGGAAGTCACTCAGAGAACAATGAAATGGTAAGGTTCAAAGAATAAGGCAGAGAACTAACCAATAACTGTTACAACCTTTTCCACTGAAAAAAGATAGCTGATTCCTCTTGTCCAACTCAGCTCAAGCTCTAGTCTTGCTTGATAACATGCCACCGCACACTCCCTACAAGCACACCAAAATGTTCTTTCATGCTATCAGCCTTTTTCCCTTTGTGTGGAATGATGAGAATCCTTTCTTATCTACAAGTGCCTACGATAAGACTGGCATGTAGTAAGCATTTAATATGGGTTGAGGAAGAGAAAGTAAAGAGTACAGTTAAATTAGACACTTCTTTCTACATTGTCTATATTTCTTATAACGGTATTATACTTTTTTATAACTACAAGTTGATAGTACAGGACATAAATCAGAATAATTGACTGAGAGTTAATAAAGATGCTAGAGATCATTTAAGGAAAAAATATAAAGAACACAGACTGGAAACCCAGTTACATTATTAATTTGCTTCACCACCATGGGGGAAGTCACTTAAATTCTGAGCCATTGTTGCTTCTTGTGAGAAAGGTAATCAAAGTAACTCCAACCAGTGGTTTTAGAATGATCAAATATAATATGGACGTTAAAGTGGTTTTTAAATGGAAAAACACAAAAAGGAAGTTGCACAGCATACAGAGACCTCATATTGGACTGGCAGATGGTGAAGAGTAAAGTCAGAAAGGCAGTATTTGAGGCAATGACCACGCACTTACAAACTGTCGGAGAATGGCAGTAGGAGTCTTTATGCTGTAGAAATACTTAAAATAAGGAGAATAGAAACATTATGGATTCAAACGATTCTACCCAAGTTGCATCAGGATCCCTGAAAGCACTGCAGCAAGACCACCTCATGGGAAAATGGGTTGCCAGGTATTATACAGATGTCTGGGTTCCTGTAAAGGTTAAGTAATGACCAGGGTGGGAACTTGATCTCAACAGGATCGTAAGTTTCCATCCCTCCGTGTCATAGTGGACATGATAGTGTCCTGAGACTATCACTTATTATAACAATTCTCATTAAATCTTTGCCTGATAGATCCTAAAATCATTCAAAGCTTGGTTCAGGTAAATAAAAAAATTAGGGGAGGGGCCGGCCCAGTGGCATAGTGGTTAAGTTCACGTGCTGTGCTTCGGTGCCCTGGGGTTCGCAGGTTCGAATCTCAGGCGCAGACCTACACACCGCTCATCAAGCCATGCTGTGGCAGCATCCCATATACAAAACAGAGGAACATGCACAGGGATGTTAGCACAGGGCCAATCTTCCACACCAAAAAGAGGAAGATTGGCAAGGGATGTTAGCTCAGGGCTGATCTTCCTCGCCAAAAAAATAAAATAAAAAATTAGGGGAGACTAACCTTTTACATTAAAGTTATTCAAAACATGCTTTAAGGTAAAATTATTTGAATAGATTATTACCAGTTAAAGAAGGGAAATTAGCATTTACTAAATATCTTCTACATATCAGTCACTATGAGAGTCATTTGACATGTATAATCTCACTAAATCCTCAGAACACAAGAAGACAATTACACGTATGTATACATAATCATATGTACATTTCTAGGGAAGAAAATAGACTTGGAGGTTAAATAACTGGCCTAAATAACAGAGATGGCCAAACCAAAATCCATTCAGTTCTAAATCCTCTGGTCTCTCTTAGGCAACACTAGTTGCTTGATCTTATTTAACAGGATAACCCTTAAAAGGAATTAAATCACCATATAACAGGCAACAACAGTTCCCTTATTGAAAGCAATTTTCATACTATAGTTCCCCTTGGGATCATTTATACAATTACATAAAATGTATGATAAGTAATACAGCACAAATGGCAAAACAGTCCTTAACAATCCTCTCTTCCTATAAAGCTAGTCACTTAAGTTCTAATAACTCAGAGGGAAATAAAGTTTAGTTTGCTCCCAAATACACTATGAAGAGTTAAGTGAAAAGAACAAACCAAAAGATCCTGAGATTGACTGCTTGTTTCATTAACTAACTTCTGAGACAAAAGCAGAAATTAATCAAAGTTAAAACTGTAACACATCTGAAAGCACACTAAAAGGGAGGATAGTGATGAAAGTAATGTTAAGAGAGTAGGAGAGTATGGCTACAAAGTTTTTCTAAAAGGAAAAGATGAATGATGATTTCAATGATAGCAGCAATGATGGAAACATTTATTGTGCACTTACTAAGTATTAAGCACTCTATCAAGATGTTTATATGCATTGTCTAATTTAATACTCACAAAAGTTAAAGACAAAGACCATTATTATCCCCTTAAATAGATGATGGAAACAAAACAATTAAGTGATTTGCTCAGGTTCTCAAAACTAGTAAGTGGATGAACTAGTATCCAAGTCAGATCTGTCTATTTCTGAGCCCAAATTCTTAAGCATTAACTTAGACTGCCTCTAAATAATAGCAGATCAGTTCACGATTTCATTGTAAGCTCTAAACAGGCAATCAAGTCTTATAGTTGCCATATGAGTTTCCCAGTCTCCTACCTACTTTCCAATGAGGCACGGTCACCTGGTGTAGGAAGTGAAAGACAGAAGCTTCTGAAGAGTGGCAAAACAGTATAAACTTTTTCTACTAAAATTTATCAGAATCTATAAATTTAAATGTTTAAAATTTATTTTCCAAAATGTACAATCTGAAACTATAAATTACTTGATTTATTATGAAACGGTCACGCAATTAAACTTTGTCTGAAGGAAAAAATTAATATTCATAATTACTGGTCCTTCTCAACTCTGAAAGAGGCCAGTTTTTAATTGTAATTAGTGAGGTATGTAATCACATGTAGTGAAAAATTAAAGTAATGGTTATTTAAAGCAAGGACTAAGACATTATATGTTTCCAGGAGGAACAGTTAAAAAATCAGTTCACTAGTTAATTAATAGATATAGATATAGATGAATGTTTTCAGCCTCTTACACCTGACCTAATTGCAAACTGAAGTGAAAGAAAAAGATTTTTTGTGCTCTGTTTATGATTACAAATTTGTCCTCGTAAAATATAACAAATGAAGCTAAATTTACCTACGCATTTTACATCACATCATATATGCCCTTAAATCACTCAATTTAAAACATATAATCTTATTTATAGGAATTTCAATTCTTAATTTTTGGAAAATTACATACAGGCTACAGCCTCTCTTGCTATTAAAAAAAAAAATCAAAGAAAAAATATATATGTATTCATTACGTGAAAAGACTGTTAACTGATACATACAACAGGAAGGATTTAACTTTTAAATACACAATAAATACTACTCATAATATGTGAGTAATGAAACTACTAAAAAATAATTGAAAAAAAAATAATTCTCAAGGAAAAAAATCTATAATTCAGAAGGATCTACATCATTGCTGAAAAATCAGGAATGCATTCAATTTATTGTTTGTCAAAATAAGTACCGAATAGAGACTAAACATTAGCAACAAAAAAAATTCAAAAAAGTAAATTGACTGGTTTTTAACCAATAAACAAATAAATCAATTCAAAAAAATTAAATACTGATTTCTCTTCTTTCCTAGATTCTTTTTTAGTATTTCAGCTGATTTTCTTTCTAAGTCATGAGACAGATGAAAATAAGCAAGGTGAGGATCCTTTAACAGGAACATAGAATATTTATGTACTTGTACTGACCGGCTCAGAGTCATAGCAATAATCATCCCAGCTCTGTCTGAGGGGTTTCTTTGTTATCTGAAAGTAAGGCAGATTAGTTAGGTAGCAGTAATGGTTATTACACTTTTCTAACCATCTCTTAGATGTAAGTGTTCAGGAAGCACTGCTGCTATCCAAAGAAAGTTATTTCGTATAAGAGCATAAAACAAGAAACAACCAGGTAAACATTCAGATTCTGGGAGATCATTGTAACCAATCCATATCTGCTATTGTCCAGTGACTCTGAGATTTATATTAAGTGCTGAGTCCCAGGTTCTATGAATACTGACCTTAGGACAAGAATATGTCTGGTATGGCCACTGATTACAAAAAGATGTAGAAAAACAGTAAGAGACTCTGGATTTCTCTAATACTAACAACTATCAGCTCATTTACAGGCAATCACTACTTTTTAAAAAGGAAAATATTTAATCACCCAAATATAATGCAAATAGTTGAAACAGGGAAGAGAAAAAACTCAGAAGCTAAGTCAACAATTTTTTTTAATCTACTTAATTCTATACACTAAAAATGCCTATAATTATATCAGAAAGTGATATTTCAATAATTTTGAAATTCTTCATATATTAATACAAAGTTATGTTAATTTATATAAATGTGTAGTTTCAAAATTAAGAAATATCACTTATACAACATGCTGTATATCTTGGGAAAGGTCTAAGATATTACTTTCATAACCCTAAATACATACTACAATCTTTGAGCCATCATCAAAACCTTCATAAGGATTTTTCAAATTACTATAAAGGAATTTTTTCCAGACATTACATCTTGTCTCTAACAATTAACAAATAAGGGGAGACAATCAATTATTTAAGTGATCTACTGTGATACCAATTCCACTGATATTCTAGAATTTTTGTTAATATGAGGAATAATAAAATTGTAGAGACCAATGTAATGAAAAGCTGTGAGAATTACTCATTATGGAACTGAATTTTGAGTTTCAAGGAAAGATATAAATTCTCTAAGTCATTTCTATAATTATCATTTCTTTTGATGAATTTCATATTGAATGTTTAAAGGGATCATTCACTAAAAGATAAAAATAATCATACTCTAAGTCAGTATCATAATATCATGCAAAAAGGTACATGTATTAGACTTCAAAACATGCAAATAAGGTTTCAAGTAATCCCTTGCAAGGATAAGCATTAATTATTAGTAACATTTAACATGCTGGGGTCTGTAAAAGGTAAATCACTTTGGAAAGAGTAAACCATTTTTCTAACATGGAGGTACCTATCAACAGCTTATTCTTCTCTCAAAGAGTCTCACAAAAAGCAAAAGGCACACATATAACTAATCTTTTACAACTCATGAGAAGAATAATAATTTTTAGGTCTGACAACTACATCACATATATTTTTAGATTGCATGTATGAAAATGCTAGTTAATAGCTATTACCAGGTTTGAAAACGAAGAACTAGAAAAAAACCTTTTTCTCAAGATGTAAAATTTAGTAATGCCCTACATTTCAAAACGCTTTTCATGAACTCTCACCTGATTGAGATAATGATATTCTTTTGGTTGTTTAAGATGGAATGCTAATCTCTCTTCTTCACTTGCTCCTGCCAGAAGGTAATAGAATACATGATAATTCCTGTTGGAAACAAAGAAGTATGGCTTTATAATGAACGTGATCTATAGTTATCACTGAACAGAAAAAAAAGCAAACATTAATTAGTAAATGTTTCAGTTTTGCTTCATTTTTTTAATACAAAGATGATAAATTCAATATTTAAGTACTCCTTCAAAATAGAATGATGTTTTGGATGCTGAATTCAAAAGAGAGGGGTGAAGGGGCGGGCCCAGTGGCACAATGGGTAAGTAAGTGCACATGCTCCACTTTGGCGGCCCGGGGTTCGCAAGTTCAGATCCCGGGCACTCACTGATGCACCGCTTGTCAGGCCATGCTGTGGTGGCGTCCCATATAAAGTAGAGGAAGATAGGCATGGATGTTAGCCCAGGGCTGATCTTCCTTGGCAAAAAAGAGGAGGATTGGCATCAGATGTTAGCTCAGGGCTAGTCTTCCTCACAAAAAAAATAATAAAATTAAATTAAAAAAAAGAGAAGGGTGAACGCAGTGATACAGCAAAGTTAAGACCTCCGAAAATTCTCTCCTCCATAAAACAATTAGAAAACTGGCAAATTTGTCAGAATCAACTTTCTCAGAACTCTGGAAATTAACCAAAAGCCTACAGCAATCCACAAAGTCTTTACACAAGAAAAACAGCTAAATCTCAGTAAAAATAGCAAGCTTTGTGGCCGTTAACTTGCCCTATTCGACCTCCCGCTCACCAGCTCCATGACAGCATTCAAAACCAACAGCTTATAACTATGGTGGACACCAGAAGCCTGGCAGCTTCCTAAAAAGGGCAGAACAGGGTTAGAGCTCGTTCAGAGCCTCGTTCCTAAGAAATATCATTATTTGAACTATCTGGTGGTTACCTAGAAGAAGCCATGTTCAAAACTGTCTTTATTTGACCTGACTCAGAGTTAGCCCAGTGTGAAAATCTTCTCCCCTGGGGCATGTAGAAAACAACTACAGTCAATTTTTGAACGTGTCAGCTGCCTGAAGTGGTGGATAAATGTTGGGGCAACGAATAACCTAACCAAAAAACTTGAACGGAAAAGCTGGGAAACGAGATCTCCACACAGGCGTTGAAAAGCTCCAATATATTCCTAGAAATCTGGAAGACAACGTGCATGTGTAAGGCTGTGTGCATGCCCAAGGCAGCACATCCATTCAGCAAAGACCAGAGGAAGTAGGAAGCTCTCCCCTCTGGCTAACCTTGAAGATCTGTACAAACAGGAAGTAAAGGCTAACTCAGAATTATAAAATGCCTACCTGCGTGTTAAAGGCATGGTCCAATACATATAGAGAGGCCTGTGCCAAGAATCGAAGCAAATCTCTGTTCAATCATTACCTGACAAGTAAGCTAACCAAGCAGATACTTCAGCGGCCACACTTGAAATTAGAGACTTCATAAAATTAGTTCAGAAAAATCACAAAACAAACAGCAGGAACAAAAACAACAACCAAAAATCCTGGGAGGGGGAGGATATGATTTCCAGAGCTGCCATATAATTATTTAAAATGTCCAATTATTATTTAAAATCTCCAATTTTCAACAAAAAAACTACAAGGCGTGCAAATATACAAGAAAGTATAGTGTATACAAAGGAGAAAAAATATCAATAATAACTGTTTTTGAGGAAGCCAAGACATTAGACTTGTAAGACTTTTAATCAGCTCTTTTAAATATGTTCAAAGAACTAAAGGAAATCACTTTTAAAGAACTAAAGTATGAAAATGATGTGACTTCAAATAGAGACTATCAACAAATATATAGAACTTATTTAAAAAATCAAAAAGGGGGGCCAGGGTGGTGGTGTAGTGGTTAAGTTCAGACGCTCCACTTCGGCGGCCTGGGGTTCATGGGTGCAGATCCTGCGCGCGGACTGACACACTGCATACCAAGCCATGCTGTGGCGGCATCCCATATAAAATAGAGGAAGATGGGCATGGATGTTAGGCCAGGGCCAATCTTCCTCATCAAAAAGAGGAGGACTGGCAACAGATGTTGGCTCAGGGCTAATCTTCCTCACACACACAAAAAAAAATCAAAAAAATTCTAGAGTTGAAAATATAATAACTAAAATGAAACATTATCTAGAGAAGCTCAACAGCAGATTTGAGCAGGCAGAAAAAGAAATCAGTGAACTTGAACATAAGCCAGTTGAGACTAGTCTGAAGAACAGAAAGAAAAATGAATGAAGAAAAATGAACAGTCTCAGCGATGTGTGGGACACCATTAAGCAGACACTAACACATGCATAATGTGGGACACCAACATATGCACAATGGGAGTCCCAAAAGGAGAGGAAAGAAAGGGGCAGAAAGAATACTTGAAAAAATAATGACCAAAACCTCCCCAAATACGATGAAAAACAATTTGCCTATTCAAGAAACTCAACGAACTCCAGGAGGGAGAAACTCAAAGAGATCCAGACCCAGACAAATCAAAACTATTGAAAGACAAAGACAAGACTTTCAAAGCACCGTGAGAGAAATGCCTCATCAAGAGAACCTAATACAAGATTAGCAGCTAACTTCTCATCAGGAATCATGGCAGAAGGATAACATATTCAAAGTAATGAAAGAAAAAAACTATCAATCAAGAATTATATATCCAGCAAAACTATCCTTCAAAAATAAAGGAGAAATCAGGACATTCCCAGATAAACAAAAATAAGAGACTTCATAGCTAGCAGATGGGCCCTACAAGAAATGCTAAAGGGCGTTTTTCTGGCTGAAATAAAAGGAGACTAAATAAGATCCAATTAAACATGAAGAAATAAACAGCACTAGTAAAGGTAACTACATAGGTAAATATAAAAAATACTATAAATTATTTTTTGTTTGTAACACTTTTTTTCTTATTAGATTTTAAAGACATCTGCAAAAAGCAATAATTATAAATCTGTAAGGATGGGCCTACTATTAGAAAGATGTTATCTGTATGACAATAACAGCACAATGGAGGGAGAAAGGAACAGAGCTACACAGGAGCAAAGTTATTTGTATACTATTAAAATTAAGTCATTATTAATCCAAACCAGATTGTTAAGATATTTACTGTAATCACCAGTGCAACCAATAAGACTGTAACTCAAAAAATATATAATAAAAGAAACACCAAAGGAATTAAAATGGTACACTAGAAAATATTTAATTAATACAAAATAAGGCAGTAATAGAAGACTAAAGGAACAAAATCATAAAACATATACAAAACAAATAGCAAAATAGTATTCACAAATCCTATCTTAATAATTACATTAAATATAAGTGGATTAAACTCTCCAGTCCAAACGTGGATAACTGGCAGAATAGAGAAAAAAAAAAAATGATGTAGGGGCCGGCCCAGTGGTGTAGTGGTTAAGTTCGTGCCCTCCACTTCGGTGGGCCAGGGTTCACAGGTTCGGATCCCGGGTGCAGACCTACACACCACTTATCAAGCCATGCTGTGGCAGGCATCCCACATATAAAGTAGAGGAAGATGGGCACAGATGTTAGCACAG